TGCACAGCAGGGCATCTTGGACCTCCCAACACCCAGAGTTTCCAGCTCGTTCCCATGGGGCCTGAAACTGGATACTTGGTATCCAAAAGCTCATTCCTCTTCCAGCTGTGTATGCAATAATATCTGTGAGAACTCTGGACTGCCAGAGACCCTCAAAAACAAGAGGGTCCTGGACGCTGGAGAAGTTACTTTAAGCTTAAAAAGGTTATTGAATTAGGAGAAATGTTGACTGTAAAATATTTGTCAGTTTAACTATCATGATTTGAAGTTTTACTGCTAAATTCTTCTCCAGAAAACGTGGGTCAAACTCAATAATTTCCTTTCCTAGAGACTTTTATTTTTAGAAAGATATGACATACATCTGTCCAGGTTGGTTTGGATAGCAGGAAAAGTAGAATGAATGAACCTTGAGGCCTGTTCCAGTTTTACATTCCCAGAGAGCATTCTCTTCGGCCTCAGAGGCCCTCACCTTTCCACCCACCTGGCCACTCCTTCTCACCCTCCCAGCCCAATCATAACTTCTCTGGTGAAGCTTGCCCTCCACATAAGTGGAAATAAAAAATCTTAAATCTAGGTTTGTCAGCAGCAGTCATTTAAAAATACAACTATTTGTTCTTGACTCTAAGTCAATAAAGTATAGTCAGTCAATGACTTATCACTGTGCTGGCACATAATATAATCACAATAAATAGTTGGTGGTGGATGAATAAATAAAGGTTGCATTATTAATCTGAAGGAGCATCAATTTCTACAAATATAGTAGCTTGGTTCAGTAGATGGTGCTATATCAATAAAAATGTGTTTTTACATACTTTTTATAAAATCCACCACAGCTCTCTTAAGCATTGTTTGGAGCCTCCTAAGACCACGCCTCTGGCTGTCAACCCACAAAGGCACCCTCTCCCATCACTGGTCAGACTATAAATCTAGGGTCACAGATGAGGTAGCTCTCACAGCTTCTCTATTTCACCAATTAGGAATTATCATCATTCGCAGCATGTCCTGTGATTTCTACACAGAGCAACCTGGCCCAGTAAGAATGTCATGCTTCCTATTGTTTATTCTCTGGTATCTCTAGTCTAGTCAAAAGGATACTCTAAAAAAGCAATGAACAATTTAAAGAAAATATGAGGAAAAAATACAATCCCCATCTATTTCAGTGAGGGCTTGATCCAGCAAGCATTTAAGAAATAAATTTCTGGGGGAAAAATTATACCCAATACAATATTATATTCCCTTTTCTTCTAAAAAGTCACTTTATCATGTATAATGAATTTCTTTTGAATCATGAATGGATTACTTTATGTGGCCTAACATAAAACAGTATTCAAACCTACAAAGATACATAAGCATTTTTCCTTGTAACCACATCAATTTCTTACTAGATGAGCACAACACTAAAAATACAAGAAACATTAATCAAAAATAACAAAACTCAAACTTTATTATAAGGTAAAATACAGAAATCTACCAATTAATAACAGGGTTATAACTGGTCATTTCAAAAGATCTATATTGGGAAACTTCTTGAACAAAACACTTTTCATATAGTTTAATTTCTTATACCCACTATGTCAAGAATATACATTTTTAAATGTACTTCAGACCCTTGACAGCAAAACTTCTCTGTCATTTCCACTGTACCCCCAAGAGGAAGGGCAGTACAAGAGGAAAAAAATCAACTAAAATATTTAATCTATTTATTTATTCCCTCATAGCTCTCACCTGGCCTCACCACCAACTCCAACATTTCAGTTCTACATCTCCTCTTCTAGACTCCTCTAGAGCCCTTAACTCCTCTAGAAAGCGCGCCGGTCCAACTCAGCTGGCCGCCAAGGAGAACATGGAAGTAACCCCTGAACCTTGTCGGCATGCCTTGCTCCTGCTCAGACTCAACTGTTTCGTTAAGATTTTGCCTTCTGGTATTTTTTCATCTCCTAGACTTTCCTACAAAGGGACTTTTTTCTCTTTCTACACAGATCAGCAATGTTAGTGAGCCCATCCAATAAGCTTGCCACGGTACTCAAAGAAAAATGAACAAGATAGTTCTTTCTCAGATTTCAGTCCCACGGGATTTAAAATCTGCCTCCTTCTAACTTGCTATTTATTCTACAAAGCACTCATTTGGCATTTACCTTATGCTACCCTGCCCTCCCTCTCCCAATGCATCCTTAAGTCCTTTTGTCCCCAGAGTACCTACATGTGTTCAGCAGGCACGTTGTGGGTGATGGTACTGGGGCCCATCCTCCCCTGCTCTCTAGTTAGAAGAGAGGGCCCAGAATGGCCTCTTACTCAGGAACATTTAGACCATTTTTCAATTCACGCTATAATCTATTGCAGGAGGGTGTGGTGGGCAAACAGGTTTTATCATCAGTTCAACGCTGATCAGTTCAGCAGCAGCTGCTCTAAAGGGCTGGTTTAAGGAAGATAACGAGGCCACATCTGGACTCGGAGTCCGGGCACGGATGGACCAGAGTTGTCTGCTGCACGCCTCGGTGAGGCGAATGGTGGTATGCACGCTTGGCGTTTGCCATCTGCACTCTAACCACCAAGCCAAGTTCTGAATTTTAGTAGTTCCTTTCCCTCATCGAAGCGTTTGGCCAAAAACAAACAATTCAAAATGTTCCAAATACACGCCCATGTGTAACCCTTCTACATAAAAGTTTGGTGAAGAACATTCCTCCTTGGGTGAACCAGACTCTCGGGTCAACGTCGTGGGCCCAGTGGGCCCTCCTCTTGCCATGGACACACAGGAAGAACATTCTCGAGAGCATTCAGCAGGAACTTTGAAAGTGCCGCTTCCTTTTCTACAAAGGCAAGAGCATCAAAGCTCTCAACTCCAGAAGCCAGCCCAGCCCGGGTCACTTAAGGACCCCACTGACTGTGTAGCTACTCTTTTTCATTCCAGTAGATGCTGCTGCATTTTTCTGTTTAAATAGTTCCCCTTTCTCATCCTTGCGCTCCCCAAAATCTGTACATCAGACACAACCCCAGGATCAGGGGTGACAACATTTAGGAGACATGGTTTCCCACTTTTTCTCCGGCAAAGAGTCATTTCCTAATGGCGAGAATACAAATTCAACATCTCCACTACACTAGAGAAACAAACGGTCCTGGGGGCTCAGAAAACTCAAAATGACCAATCAAACCCATCCTTTTGATTTGTTTCTAGTACTGTTCTCCTTGGCCAGAAAATCCCTCATTTTCTTCTAATGTAAAATATCAAAGAACGCACTCCCCAATTCTTATTTAAAAAAACACATTACACAGTAAAGTGCATCATTAAGTGCTGACAACCGCCACTTCTAGCTTTCTAATCGCATTTATTTTATTTCCAAGGCAATCTTCATCAATTTTCATTTCTCTAATCAAATTATATTGTCGAAAAAGCCCATTTCACTTAATACTTGTTGTCTTCTCTGCAGCACGGTATGGTACATCCTTGCTCTCTCTACCCCAACTCTTTTAAAGCAGCGGTCCCCAACTTGTTTGGCACCATGGACCGGTTTCATGGAAGACAGTTTTTCTACGGATTGTTGTTTCCGGGGACAGGGAGGGGGGCGGACAGGAGGTAGAGCTAGTGCCAGCAGTGCCCACTGACGAGGAGGAGGAGCGGGAGGATTGGGGACCCCTGTGGAGCATTCACGCCATTAATAAACTGCTTGACAGTCTCTCCTACTTTCTATGAGAACAAACACTTAGGCCAGGGTCATTTATAAGTTCCCTTAAAAAATGTCAGTGGTTATAATGGAATGAAAGCCTTTCTGAGATAAAAGTATGTTAGGATGAGAAAATAAGTAAAAACAGGTTGCTTTTCTCAAGATCTCAAGAAACAGTTCTTCTTTAGTGAAAGGCAAATATGCCTTTAAAAGTTAATACAGGATCTTCTAAAAGCTTCCCCAAGCCCCAAATATTAAAATCGTGTAAGTAAACATCTCAAGGAAGGGAAAAAGACAGTGACCCACTTATGGACATTGTAGGGCATTAAGGGGCAATGGACAGTACTCAGTAGGCTGGACTCGGTAGCCCAGTGGAGCCTGAGTCCAGAAGATCTGGGGGCTGTCGGTGAGTTTCAGTTTTCATCCATCCCTCCCCATGGCAGTTTCGTCCCTGCCTGCAGACTACAGGAGTCCAGGAACCAGAGGTACAAATGCAGCTGAGGGGGACTCAGAGAAGCCAGAGCAGAAAATTGAGGCAAGCACCGAAATTCTATTGCTACTTTGTGCATCGGCTGAGCCTCTAAAACATGGTATTTTGGGGGAAAAAATAAAGTTATGTGGTATTGCAACGTATTTAAGGGCAGGCTCTGTGAAGTAACTTTATCAGATATATATGGCCAAAAGTGTGCCCTGTTCAGTCTGGAATATTAAATTGAGTACAAATGAGGGGGAAAAGTTCAAAAATAGAACACATTAAAAGGCTAAAGGAAACAGGATTTTTTTCAACTCAAAGAGACGCAGCCTAACCCTTTTTTCTCAACAGGATGGTATCTACTGCAGAGGCACCGGCCTGTGGAGCACGGAGAAAGCAAGAATGAAGTAATGAAGAGCTCCACAAACACAGAAAAACTACTGACCTTGATTTTTGGAACTTTCTGGCAAACCAAATTTAAAATTACATATCTTTACTAATCAGACATAGCAACTGTGCATCATAGCTCCAACTTTTAACCCCTTAATTTCCACCACAGAACTGTTTGGGTTTTTTTACCTGTCTTTAAAAACAAAACAAAACAAAAAGCTACATAGTTTTATTTAGCTCCAAAAAAGATTCAGGTGCACAGGCAGCGACGGATCTCACAGGTGCACAGCTGTGTTTCCTCCTAACAACTAAATACAATCATTGCTGTGAACACAGCCTTTACCTTGAAATGTGAATGAGCACCAAAAGTAATTTTCTTAAACAAAAAACGGGGCCTAAAAACATGTGCTTAGGTGGAATTCTTGAACAGTAACCCGCCTGTTGATGGTGGACTTCGTTTAAAGCATCGCACAACAATGTGTGTTTACATCACCCTTTTATTTCGTAGTTAGAAATAATACAGTTCCACAGGGTAAATCATCAATAAATAACGATGTTTAATCATTAAACGTAAAAATCCCAACTCTTTGGCATCTGACAGGATTCTATTTCTTGTCAAACTAATGACTGTATAGATATAGTTAATCTTAGTGATCATTCGTCAGTACAATATGTTACAAAGGTGCAATTTACGTTAAAGTATCAACAGCTGGAAATTTGTAGCCCGCCAAGAAATTTGATGAACTCAGGAAGATACGGGCCAACTTCGCTGAGGTTCAATCACACAGTTTGCCTCAGTGAAAGCATAATAAATGTTGATTAGGAGTTCCTAGGGTTTTCTAATACTTATTCTGCTCTAAATAGTTTGCCATTCATTCTGGCTAAGAAAAGTCCCAACTGCACCAGGAATGGCCCACTGATTAATTAACAGGTGTTCTTATTTTATAAGCAAGATTGCTAACACCTAAGAAACTCACAGCCCCCAAAATAAAATTTAAAATAAGCAGTTCTATGCTGCCAGAAATGCCAATTCGGTTATAAATTGCACCTTCAATAGTCAAAAAAGAAGAAAAGAAATAGAAACTTTTACAAAAGGTAAGTTACATACATTTTTTTTCCAAAATATATTCAAGAATAGTTGAGCTGTATTTGTTACTAAAGCCAGGGCAATCTCTCTTTAGCAACAAATTAAACCAGTGCAATTGACATAAATTGTTAAGTAATCCAGGATTAACCCATTAAAACTGTAGAAGCCCCTTAGGCTCCTACACTAATCCTAGAAACTGGAATTTCAATGAGTGCTTGTGCTGCAAAAACTAAAACCTGGAATGACCCGATGCCATGCTGAATGGTATCACTTCATACTCAGATTAAGCATTCGATAGTAGAAATCATGAGTTCCTCTATTAAAGTTCCATCCACTTACAGAACATTCAGATGCAGACTGTATTATGCCTATAATTCACAACTAAAAGAATCTTTCCACTTTAAAGTTCCAGATGAATTTTAAATTAGAAAATAAGCTCAAAGGAAACGTTTTCAACTTATGAAAACTTCAGATTGGAAACTTTCTGTAAAAGCTTCCCCCCCACCTATTGTAAAATAAATACTTTGTATCCCAAATTTCATTTTATTAAGACACATGTTAATAACGCTATAAAGAAATATTTTACAGCCATAGAGATCAATACCTTTCCATGCGGAAATAAAAAATTCATTGCTCAATATTAGTATTGAGGCAAGTGAAGAAAGATTATTCTCCTGTCAATCTGAAATGTTATTTTTTTTCAGTGCAAAACCAGTTATAAAATATTTAAACATAATATTTAAAAATAAAAAGTGGTCCAATTCAGCAATGTTCAAGTTCTAAATTTCATAAAACAAATCATTACATACATTTCATAGTAAAATACAGAGATTAAAGAAGTACTTAAGTACTTAAGATATAAATTTCTAATGAATCATACCAAGTCAGCAACAACCAAGCAGAATAGCATTCCTGACTCCAGCGTGAGAATCCTAAAGATCTTACCGTACCAAAGCCTTTTTTCCTAGCTAAAAAGCTATACAAACTAATGGTCAACATTCTGTTTTCTTTGTAGTTGCGTGCTCTAGAGTGATTTCTCCCCAAGTACCTGCGATTTTACTTCTGTATTCAAAATTTGATCCGAACAATTTCTATGTTCCTGGAACACTTAGCTGATAGAACCATCTATAACGTGAAGAGTCCTGTACAGAGTACAACTGCGGGTGTTTCTAGCCAAGCACAGGCTGCCCTAAACTGGTTTACACACTCGGCAGGTCATTCATGTATTATTCCTAGCAAACACACGGTCCCCTCGCAGGGTTAGGTGTTGAAGCTGGTACTGTAGCACTTCTGTGTCAGCTGGCTCCTTGATGTTCATTTTATCTAGGTTGAGGTAGTCCAGAGATTTGGAGTGAGCCCTCTTACCTTTAAGAAGACAAAGAGGCAGAGGCCCATGGAGGGCCTTATAAGGTTCATAAGGTAAAGATTTAGTGCACTTGTCTCCTGAGCTGGGCATCCGCCTTCGCCTCCTGCCGTTGACAGCTGGAATCTCGTATGGCTGGTAGTACCTACTTCTGGTTTTATACAAACGAGAGGAACGCGCGAGTCCTGCATCCAGCTGTTTGGAGCGCAAGGAAGGCACGGCTTCTCCCTTACTCTCTTCACCTCCTGTGCACTTCTGGGCTAACTTCAGGAGTTCCTCACCAGTTGTGAAGCCAACCAAATAGTTGGAGTCCATGTGGAGGATCTGGTAGCCTGCCACAGTCCGGCGCATCGGCGAGCACGGTGTGCTGGAGCAGCGAGGCTTCTCTGCCTCTGCCCTTCCGGGGGAGCTGGCCTCGGCCACGGGCAAGGGCAGGGTGCTCAGGGTACTTCTGGACTCTCCATTAACATCTACTTCCATCTTAGCCACCAGTCTGCACACTCCTAAAAGTAGACAGACAGATTAGAAGGCTGCGGAGAGCAGAACAGTGGGCCAAGCTGGATAATTTTAGAAGGTTCGGGGATCATGAAATAACACTGGTCTGAAAAACAGCCCATGTACTGTTCATCTGCCTTTGAAAAGTTCCAGAGCAGAAATAAAGTGACTACTACTCCTTCTCTGCCTTCAGCCTTAAGTATGATTAACTGGTTCAGGTGGAAGAACCTACAAAACTTCTCTAAACACAGTGCTCCATTCAATCTCCCAAAGATTACTCCTTGATAAGATATGAAGCAAATCCAATACATACCTCAACATTAGGCAAATAAAAATAATTAACACAGTATCACAAGAATGCATAAAATCTCTCCAACATGAAAATTAAAATCTTTACACTTCCCAACATTTGACTTAAAGTAAGTCCTCAGCTCTTCCACCCTCAATTCTTTTCAATTGTGTTTAAGGACAAATAGTAAAAAGATAAAAGCTGATCCATTTCTGCAAAGATTCCAATTTAGGCCAAAGTAATTTTTCTTACAGTAGGAAGAAGTCTTAAGGGAAGGGGCCTCCAAACCTTGTCAACATTCCTCCTTCCATATTCCAATAAATCATGTGTAACACTAAATATATATAAAATTCCAGATGTTATTTTATTTGAACACTTAATCACCAAACAGACCATGTAAAACACTGCGCTTTTGAATAGTGTAGTAAATGGCAGGAGAATTAACAATACATACTAACATTATTCATTACAATGATCACACTGCAGTGTGAGGGAAACTCCAATGACAGGAAGTGCCACAAAGCATTGCCAGGTCCTTAGGAAGTTGTAGATAAATCAAACTTTGGAAAATAAAATATTACAGGAATCTGAGTAACAATACCATTTCCGAAAACATCATTTTATGTATCTCAGATTGCTAACCAAAATGTCAAGTAACAACTGATTTTAAGATGAAATATTTCTTGAAAAAGGCTACAATATTAAATAATGCTTATGAATCCTTTTGTTAAAAAAACCTTTTTCTGGCCCTGGCTGGTGTAGCTCAGTGGATTGAGCACGGGCCTGCGAACCAGAGTATCACGGTTCGATTCCCAGTCAGGGCACATGCCTGGGTTGCAGACCAGTTCCCAGCAGGGGACTCACGAGAGGCAACCACACATTGATGTTTCTCTCCCACTCTTTCTCCTTCCCTTCCCCTCTCTCTAAAAACAAATAAATAAAATTAAATTAAATTAAATTAAATTAAATTTTAAAAAAAACCTTTTTCTAATTGAGGTATTTCCTAAATTGGGGTATTCACTTAAAATCTGAGCAATTAGAAAGCTGAAGAAAAGCCATGCATAACCTTTTCCCTCCATTTGCATTGCTGTACTTCCATCATCAGGAAATAAATAACCCAGACTGAAGTTACCAGATGCCATCCTGTCCTCACTAGGGTCCACGTTTTTAGCATATCTGAAATTAACACTAATAATAATTCCTGAGATAAAACAACTGCTAAAGAGATCAACATAGTTTTACTCACTTTGTACTCTAAATCTTGGACTGTTTTAACTATAATTCAACCAAAATATCTTCGCCCCTCAACCCCTGTAGACTTAAAGTAATTGGCTTTATTTTATTTTATTAATGAAAAAATAAATTTGTACTTGCTTTTATAATCTATTTCTCTATGGAGACGATGGAAGCAGGTAGCCACCAGCTGTTTTGATGTGTTTACCGAAACCCGAAGATTTCTCATCTAATAAAATTTAGAAGGCCATACAAAGCTTCATCAAATTTTATGGTAAAGAAACAAATGTTTACTCTAAGCCAAATGACAAACTAATCCTTCCTTTCTCACTAATTCTGTTTTCCAGAAAGAGCACAAGAGAAGAGCTTATCCAAAGCCTACAACCTACGTAAGGGCAGGAAGTGATTCTGACAGTTTATTCTCAAAAGACACAAGGACACCCAGAAGAGGGTCAGTGAGGCCCAAATCACCAGGGCTGTGGAGGAAATGGGGCACACACAGTCCGGGAGCCCCACCCAGTAGAGTCACCCAGGTGGTGAGAATCAAGCAGCCAGTCACAGTAAGTGATGCGGTCCAGGTCTTTCCAAACCTGACAGTCCATGACAGTCCAAGGACTTCTACCAGCCAGCCACCTTACAGAACCCGCATTAGATATTCTATGAACTTCCTAAAATCCATGACTCACACCCTACCCTCCTGAACTGGGTAATAATTCAAACAGAAGCTAGGCTGAAAGTCATCTTTTTTTGCCTATAAGAGATAAAAATTGCTAAGCAAGTTAACAGTGTACAAAGTCACAGCACAAAAGTGTGGGCACAGGCATCTGTGGTTAACAGCATAAGTCATCAAAAATTTGTTTCCACACTAAGTCAATTCTGCTGCATCAAGGCAGACCATCAGGAATTCCTATCATCTCTAGGGGTGAAGGATAAAGAATAGTAGGATGCAAAGATTTGAAAGAAAGGGAAAAATATTATATATTAGCTAGAAAATTAGAAAAGTGGTGTGAGGCAATGTTTAAAGTCAAAATTTGATGCAACATGAACTAGACACCCCTGTTAGATGAGTAACCATCACTAGTTAAGTTTCCAGCAGCCAAGAGTATCATAAAACAGTATCACCGGGCGTCAGTAAAGTTAACCAACAGGATCTTCAGGCATCTACCTGATAGACAATGATTTAACCTACATACTTATCTAGATGTGGTTTAAGAGCTCTAGAAATCTCACCAAGCTGCCTAGTGTAAGAAACCTATACATAGTGGGATGACATGAACAACAGACTCCTGGAAGAAAACGCTACTTACCCAGAAAGTTAAAGAAACAAGCATTTCTCAAACCCTCTAACAACTATTTAAGTAACCAAGGTCAATACTCTGTGTAAAATTTCTGAATCAGTCTTGCTGCTCTAGAACGTAAAAATGCTCACTTTAGATATATTACATGTGCAGCTACTACCTGCTGAGTAATTCTAAGGGCTGAAAAATTGTTTACATTTTTTATCTATAAGGCATCAACATGTCTGCTCCAAACAATAGCACAGTTTCAAAACTAACAGATCTTTTTGGTGGCTTCATCGGACTCTGCAGTGTCTTGTTCATATGTACAAGAACATCTTCCAATCTTGACACTGAAGTAGGAAAGGTGCAATCAGAACTCCTAAAAATTGCTTAGGTTTTTTTTTTACATATTGCCTTTCTAAAGAATATCTACTGTGAGGCACTAAGAAAGCTGGGTGGAGGCTGGGCTTCATACGAGGGAAGCAACGACTGGCAAATATTTCATTTTTAGCTGAACGGAATGCTGACTAAGCAACATACCTTCCATTCTTCAATGTGACTGAAAACAAAACTTTTCATGCTGCTAAATTCCTGAGAATTTCCAGACTGAATTTAAATACTGGAGCAAGATCCTGAGAGCAGTTACTGAAACAACTTTCTCGGGTTACCTTTCTCATGGGCCAGGGTGGTATAGGTCCTGTCCTGCTGGAAGACAGAAGTTTAGATACTTTCTACTTCTGGAAATCTACCAAAAACGGTGGGGGGTGATACTTAAGACAATAAAGACTGAGTGGTCCCAAAGTCAACATATCTTGATATATGGGTGTCCAGTATTTTACACTGCAAAATTTCTTATTAAACATCACTCGTCAGGAATGAATGACTACAGCTGGGGATGGCCTGTGTTTAGCAGTAAATTCTTCATATTTACCCTGAAAAATCTGCTTGTGAGTTTGTTATTTTAATCAAACTTATCAAGAGTAAGCATTTTGTTTCAGATTCTGAAATAACCTTGTATCAAAAAAAGCATACTTCCAGGATAAATGATAGCAAAGCACTCTGGCGTAGAATGCAGGTCTGTACAGCGGGCACTGCTCCCACTGCATCCACAGGAACAAACAGGAACCGAGCAATCAGGTCCCATGCTAACTTCTGCGCTGCAGAACACTAAAAATCGGAAACCAGCAATACCCTATTGTTTTCATGAATGCCTTTCATATACAGTTTAAAGCAAAAATAAGGATTGGAAACAGAAAATAGAAAAACAGAAGCAGCAAAATTTCAGTGGACAGAAGAGTGAGTCTAAAACAGAAAATGCTAAGTGTAGAAAAGTCAACTTGTTGAACAATGCTTGTGAAACCGAGTTTCCTAAACAAGTACCAGGAACAAGTGACACCTACGGGTCTTCAACATCGAATTCGCTCACAGTCCACTCAGTAATAATGGCACTGACGTGTGTGTATAAAACAGGAAGAACCTGGCCGTGTTCACACGTACCACTACGTTTCTTTGTAATACGAGGGTTCAAACCAGACAACATGAAACGAGCAACACTACCATTTACCAGTAAAAAATGTACACAGAACACATTTAAAAACAATGGGTAAAGAATGCATTTGTGAATTTTGGCTGAAACTAAAGCAAACAGATCCAAACATCAATACACATGCACCAGGAACCTGATACACCAAGATGAGCACATTCAAAACAATGTGACCCGGACAGAAAGTGATCAGCTGTGAACACTCTCCAAGAGGCCAAACTTCCTACACATTTGGCAAAAGGGGCAACATTTTGAAAATATAACCTAAATGCCTTAGTTCCTTAGACCAGCTCTGAAAATAGCTATTAAGTTGCACAACTGCTAGACAAAGAATTCTTTTTTGAGAAGTACTGTTTTTTTTAAAATCAGGTTTATCAAAAAAAGTCACCCTCAGTAGTCAAAAAACTGCTCCATATGCTTGAACTGTTTTTAGAAACAGGCAGCAATATCACTTAAGAGAAAACATAACTGTCTAAATATATAGAACAAAAATGTCATCATGTGGACAGAATTCTTTTCAAGAGATATCTGAAACAAAAACCATTCAGAACAGGGCCATTCCTTGGGGAAAGACTTCTCCTGAGGACGGCTATTATCAGTTTAATGATATCAAGAACCATCAAATTTTAGTGCAAAATCATCTTGGAGTTCACCTACCTGGAACCTCCAATCATAGGCAAGGTGAACCTGAGGCCGCGAAGCAGGGGTTTACCCAGAGCCAGGCAGGCAGTTCCGGGTCTTCTGGCTCCAAGTTCAGGGCTCCTTTGAGTAAACCCTGCCATGTGGTTCCAAAGTTGTCTACACATTGACATCATCTAAGGAGCTTCCCAAAATACTGATGTTAGTGCTCTACTCCAGACTTGTGATTTAATTCATTTGACATGTACCCGGGGCTCTGAAATGTTTAAAAGATCCCCAGGTGATCCTAAGATGCAGACATGGCTGGGAGCTTGTCAGACAGAACTTATCTGACAGAAGAATTTCACCCCTGTAAGTTCCTGCCCTTTCTTTCTTTTTTTTTTTATGTCAGTAATCACAGTCATATCAGTGACCATCACCATTGGCTGCTTGCAACTGCTAACAACCTATCATCCCTAAGGCCTTCAAGTTTAACTGCTCTTAATACACTGTGGTCTTTTTTTTTAACTTGTTAAAACTGGATATAAAATAAAAATAAATCTGTGCTAAATGAATCAGGTTCCTTCATCTATATGCACTTTGGTATAGTTATTTTAGTTATTTAGAAGCCTCTGCCAGGTACAGCCACCACTTTGGAAAACAGTTTGAGAATTTCTTAAAAATTTAAAGAAATGCTTATTTAACCACCCATGCACCTTACTTGTAGATATTAACCTAGCAAACATGAAAATATACATTCACACAAAGACAAGAATGTGCATGTTTATAACAGCTTCATTCATAATCACCAAAAACTGGAAACAATGCAAATGTCCACCAAGAGGGAAATGGATCAACTGTGCTCTGTCCATACAATAAAATGCCACTTGGCAATGAAAAGGAGCAAACTAGGATTACAGTGAGTGACGGGAGCAGAGAGAAAATGCTACATACTGTGTGATTCCACTTACATGACACTCTGGAAAAGGCAAAACTACTGGGACAGAAATCAATCAGTGACTGCCAAGCCTAGGGTTGGGGGAAGGGGACAGACTGACTGCAAAGGGGTACAAAAGGGTTTTAGGGGATAAGGAAAATATTCTATATATTGGCTGCAGTGATCATTATACAACTGTATATATTTGTCAAAACTCATCAAACTCTATACCTTCTAAGGGTGAATTTACTGAATGTAAATTACACTTTAATAAATCTGACTTTAAAAACAAAAGAAGCTGTCACACATCTCCAAGTTTTTGATGGTCCTCTGAATTTTCTATTCCTGTAGCTGCAGGAATGTGTGTATCTGTATCTCTCCATATGCATATGTATACAGATGTACGATACATAGTTACAGCTATAGTTATGTAAGTAAACAGAAGGACTTTCTAGCAGAGCTGCAAAAGGGGAAATGAACCAACGTAAGAAGTAGTAAGGCCCTGACCAATGTGGCTGAGTTGGTTGGGTGTCATCCTGCAAAGTGAAAGGTCACTGGTTCCATTTCTAGTCAGGGCACACGCCTGGGTTGTGGGTTTGGTCCTCAATCAGGGTGCAGAGGTAACCAACCAATATTTCTTTCCCTCTCTTTTTCCCTTCCCCTCTCTAAAAATAAATAAATAAAATATTTTTTAAAAAGCAGAAGTTACCTGTCAATATAGCCTAGACAACCATTAAGATACCTTCTGATTCTGCGAATATACAATTTGAAGAATTTTAAAAATTGGAGGACCAAATTTTGTGCTTTATCTCAGTTGTATGAGTTAGTGACCCAGCTACATTCTTATTCTAAATCCTCTAAAAGTACTTTGTATTTATGATTTTCAAAGTTCTTGCTCTTCTCTATAAAACAAAATTTTAGTAAAGTTTCCATTTTTTCATGTTTTAAAATGCATTTTCATAAATTTGATAAGTTACAAATGCTTCACAAACAAAACTGTTTCCTCATCATCCCTTTGAATCATTCTACTACTGACTGATAATTTGAAAATCACTTATTACAAAACTACTTTTGTCAAGGATTATGACCATTCTAAATAGTTCCAAAAAGGACCTACAAAGATATTTGGCCAAGTACAATGTTCCACCAAAGCATGAACTCACACAAATGTAGTTTTTAAAACTCTAAAGAGATTATAAGATCATTACTAATTTTTCTCCCCTTTGAAGACTTGGAGCCACACGGACAACTGTGGCAGCACAGATACACAGATGACACACTGAAAAGAAGAGTTGGAGCCACACGAACAACTGCGGCAGCACAGATACACAGATGACACACTGAAAAGAAGACTTGGAGCCACATGCACAACTGTGGCAGCACAGATACACAGATGACACACTGAAAAGAAGACTTGGAGCCACACGAACAACTGCGGCAGCACAGATACACAGATGACACACTGAAAAGAAGACTTGGAGCCACATGCACAACTGTGGCAGCACAGATACACAGATGACACACTGAAAAGAAGAGTTGGAGCCACACGGACAACCGTGGCAGCACAGATACATAGATGACGCACTGAAAAGACCACCAGAGGAGAACAGCACTGCATACACCTAACAGTTTAAATCCCCAGTGCGATGAAAGGAACGTCTCACTTGCAGTGAACTGCTGTTCAACTGAGTGAAAATGATTTTCCTTTCTGTCACCTGTTCACCTTTCTTTATGTATGATAATATAGAACTAGAACTTTTTACAGATTACTTTGCCAATCTCTGGACAGCAATGTTTTTACTAAAATTTTCCCAAAATGAGAGCAACTATCTCTTCACTACTGTATTTTCTGATATTCCGTAAAGACATCCTTTATCTTACAGGAATAAAAAAAGGAAAATCTACTCACTCAAAAAGTTAAAAATTTCAAATATAATATTAGCATCTTGCAACAATTTCAGGCCTTGCCATTAAAAATGTCACCCTGGCTGGTGTGGCTCGGTGGATTGAGTGCCAGCCTTCAAAACCAGAGGGTGGCCAGGTTCGATTCCCAGTCAGGGCACAAGCCTGAGCTGTGAGCAAGGCCCCAACAGGGGGCGCATGAGAAGCAACCACGCACTGATATTTCCCTCCTTCTCTTTCTCCTACCCTTCCCCTCTCTCTAAAAATAAGTAAATAAAATCTTTTAAAAATTAAAATGTCATAACTGCAGTATACATATCTGAAATAACATACTGAGACTTTACATTTATCTGTTCATGCAGTCCTTACACACATTATGATATTATGTTCATACAACTGGTTAACAAGCAGAAAAAGCAAAATACAACTCACCAGACTAAATCCCAGAAGATGTCACTGTACAATTTCCAATGAGTCACAAGGGAACACAGGCATAATAATTTTTCTGCTCTACTCCGGATACTAAACATGAGATATAAAAATAAACCTTTAATTTAAAAAGTAACAACACTTATAAAGCAATTATATCAATGCTAACAGCAAAACAGGATGAAACTAGCAGGAGGTACTAATACCTATACTAATAAAAGTATAGGTTATATAGGATACCATAGTAATTAATTTAATTAATTTTGAACTTGTTCAGTTGAAGTAAACTGCAAACATTTTATCAGCTTGTTCTTCTATGTTCTGTTGCTTAAGCAGGTAGCTGGAGACTAGAAGTAGCTAACTGGGCTAAATCTTAGGGATTTAAATGTAGGTTCCACCACCCTAGTCCTATTCCCGGTTCAACAGACTCATAGTACCCTATAAAAAAATAACCATGAGGCTGGGTCAAAAGAACAGGTCCTACCTAGCCCGAGCTTGGCTAAGAACTTTGCCTCCTGACCTTGCAAAAGAGCGATCTTTAAATTGAGGACAACGGCATCCCTCCTGCCTCATATAGCTGTGTGAACCAAATGACATGTGGTAGGTGAACGAATGCGCTCTGCATGCTGCAAAGCCTTTTACGATGTGTGATGTTATTATGCAATTAATTCTTTGGTGTCTACTCATTTCAGCCATGAAATAGCAATAATAAAAATCCTTCATAAGACCTCTCTGAGGCAAATGATTAGAAGACTCTTGGAAAAACACTTTTTTTAAAAAAAAGGACAACTTGAAAAACACTCCTGTAGCATTATTTCAACCCCAATCCGTCTGACTACAAAGCCTACTGACACAATGCTTTATATATGAAACTTCATTACAGATTTGAAAGCAGAGAAGCCTTGAAGTAATTATCTAACTCTTGAACTGGAGCTGATGTGGAAGTTTAGGAAGTGGTTGGTAATTTAATAGTAAACAAAATGTAGTAACTGATTATCCCTATTAGGCCAGTGCCAAGCCAAAAATAGAATATAAACAGAGTCCTGGGGAGCCACCCAGGGCAAAATCAAGGTGCAGGAGCTCAGTTCCATTTCTCTTTTTTACTAATTTCTGATTCTTACTGTTTTTGTGTGTAACTGCCTGCTATCTATGCACAGGTGCTAAAAAGAAATGAAGATGGGGTAAAAGAAAAAAATTTTTTAACTGAAAGAACAAGACTGGAAGCTAATGAAAGAATATTCCTTCTTTTTTTTTTTAAAGATTTTATTTATTTATCTTTAGAGGGGAAGGGAAGGAGAGAGGGAGAGAAACATCAATGTATGGTTGCCTTTTGTGCGTCCCCTGCTGGGAACTGGCCTACAGGGAACCGGCCTGCAACCCAGGCATGTGCCCTGACTGGGAATCGAACTGAGATTGTCTGGTTCACAGGCGCATGCTCAATCCACTGAGCTACACCAGCCAGGGCAAGAATATTCCTTCTTAAGAGCTTGCCTATAAAGGAATCCAGTAGAAAAACTATAGTGACCTTATCTATCTCCCACCAGAAACAAAACATTGTAATACGAAAGTTCCAAAAATATATTTTTATAGTAACATTTTAGAATACTTTCAAAATCTATAAATCTGTTAACACTTGCAATTGATTCTGGCCAATGTTTTGAACATGAAGGCTTGGCAAGATATCAATGGATCTCCTCTCAAAAACAATCAGCAAGAAGGAAAAGAACTCCCATGAAATTCTTATAAGATGGACTAAATGCTGCTTGGAAAAACAAATTCAAATAAACAGAGCAAAGGCGACAGTACATAATGCTTCCAGCTATAAGCAGTTGAAACAAAAAGAAAACCCCGTGATATTATCCTCTAAGCTATAAAATAGGAAAAATTAAGCATGGTGAAGAGCTGTCCACAGGCCTCTGGATAAGGATACCATGAGTGACTAAGCAAAAGACACCCAACATTTGACTGTAAATAGGCTTCTACAAATAGAAAAGTTTGCAAACATGAACTAGCAAATGTGTCAAATTTCTCAGTCAAGATGACAGATATCATCGGAAGTAAACAAAAAGAATGTCCTTCAAAAGCAGAATGGCTACACATCTGCGGTCATAGCCACAAATGCTCGGGTATAATTAATTACAGATCCCCCTTTATGTCTCAAAAGTGTCCCAGTTTGGCAATTACATTGTTATCCTACTCACAAGTATATATAACAATGGAAAGGCAATGACGGAATGGAGCACCTTCTGCTTGCATGGTGGCTTCCCATATAGGTCTGAGGAGTATCGGTCTGGGTGAATCCACACAACCACTTAGTTATTCACTTACTCATGCAGTCATTCAACAATATTTCGAGTCTTATGCTGCAGCCATGTACACTCAGTGGGGCAAATACAAAAATTGAAGGCTGAGACCAGGTGAGAGGGACAGACAGACATGGAAATACACAAATCTAATAGACATAACAGTAAACCTGAATAGCACTGGGAACCTAAAGAAGTGAGTGATTTTCCCCAAAACATAGAAAGTTCCACTTGGAAACGGTTAAGCCTACGCAAAATCATTACATAAAAATGCCATAAAACTCAGGCTTCAGCTTAGATCTACTAACAAAACAGCAGTAAGAAAAGATTTAAAGAAATTTATCAGTTCCAAATCAGGTCATGAATATGACAGTCTGCACACAGTCCTTGTGAATTTTGGTAAATAAATCCCACTAACCATTAAAGATTATATTATGAAAAGCAAGATAAATTTTAATGCTAGCTCTCAAAACACAAAGAAAAATATGGAAACAAGTAGGACTTCTCAGAGTGGCTCTTCAAGGAGAGACCAATAATGAAAAACCACTTGAAAAAAGGTAAATTTTAAAGCTCCACTGAGACTAATGAAATATTTTGCAACCACTAGTCTCAAAGATTACTCTAAAAACACGATAAAAGTGCCAAAACATCTCTCAAGTAACAGAACACTGAACAGAAATAATAATGATTTAACAGCACACACAAAGAAAACAAAATGCTTAGCTGTGGATACATGTTCATCTTAGGGTTTCCTTTAAAATATTCTTGCTTTTTCTTAAAACTCATAAAAACTAAATCATCAATAGTTCTAAAGAAGAGTTTAGGTAGGGTGTGATTCTTCTGAATCCATCCTTGACCTTAAAAACAAATCATTAACCTCACCACACACTCCAACGTGGTAAGACAAGCCATAATGGGTTCAATAAAACAAAAATGTGTTTCTCTAATTGGTTCTTTTAATAGCAATTCCCTTAAAGTGCAGCATTCATTTTCTATTTCTGCTAGTAGAAATTAAAGCTAGATTATCAATGTCTTATCATTAGGTAAAATCATCCTTCTATCCATTTTAGAAAAAAATTCAGTTTCACCACAAATATGACTGAGGGTAACTACAACTGCAGGTCTACATGCAGTCTTTACAAGAAATTTGCCTCTTGGGAAGCATAACTGTAATGGGACAGGTACACAGAGTGGAACTGGCTAGACTTCCAGATGTAAGATTAAAACTAGGAACTTATTTTGGTAGACCAGTGACAAAATCAGAATTGTCTCTGGAAGAGAACAGCTGATTCCCACATCCCACCACCAGAGTATAAAAATCAGCAGAGAAATTTAAAGCCTGTATATAAAGTGTTTTTACTCCCACCACTCTACATACTTAAGGGCTAATATGTACAATACCTCTCCAAAGCACACAAAATTACACAGAGAAAGTAAACAAATTCACTAATTATATGTAAGGTCAATAAATATCCTATACCTTATACCCTGGAATAGATACTACTAAACAATCTCATTTTCAATTAAATAAACTGTCGACAAAAGCATATTCTATACATCAGTTTTTATTAAATCAAAGAGGTCTCTGTGCTCATTAATCCTTTTATACTTCATTTTGGTCATTTTATTAAGTTTATAATGCACACACAGGTACATAATAAAACACTGAGAAATCTGTGAAACATTCATTAAACATACCTGTGGGAGCATAAATCACAGTCTTGAATTAAAATACCAAAAGCACCTGCAATAATAACCAGTACCATATTTTTTTCTTTAAATAAACGGGGAAATAAACTTTGGGAAGAGGTCATTTCTCTCTCTCTAGTGTCTAGCCTGCTCTACAGGGTTAAAATCAAACCAACTAACAACTCTAAATTGTAGGATGGCTCATCTGAGAAAAAGAATGTAAAATGAAGAGTCCTAGTAACAGAAATGTTGTGCAAGAATTGTTCTTTCGGCTAGAAGTAGCAAGCACACTATAAAATGTTAATGCCTCCATTCTTCCAAATCCTCCAATGATTAAAAAGTTCTCAGACCCAGTTTTACCTGTGCATCACTGCCATCCACATACACACTCACCGTGTTCACTCCATACAAATGACTAACCCACTGGGTGCAAACTGGCGTGGGTAAGAAGTCAGGAGACCCTAAAGATGTGGAACACTTGCAAGGGGAAAAGGACGGGGTCATCATTCCTTTCGTGTATTCCCATCTCCTTTCTGGCAGAGATTTGCAGATTCCACCACTAGAGAGACTTTGGCAGCTTCACAATGCGGCCGCCTGCTCAAGGTCTGAGTGCCACCCTCCTGGAAACCCCTTTCCTCGCGTGTTCACCTGCCCCAAGGTCCACCCGCGGCAGGTGGGGCGAGGGCGCCCATAGCCAACAACTGCTGCTTTCGCTTCAGGCCAGCACCCGGCGCCAATCCACGCGCACACCCCTGGACAAGGCCGGCCGGCCGGCCTGCCTGCCCGCACCGCTAGCAGACCCGCAGCCCAGGGCAGCGGGCAGCCTCGCCCCCCACAGACTGCGGAGCGTCCAACCAGGGTTGAGGAGATAAGGCCGCTCGGGCTCACCCCGGGGTACTATCTGGCCCGGGCGGTCACACCCGGCGTGCGGTCCGACGTGCTGCCACAGCGCAGCAGGCCCCGGAAAGAGCTACTTCTCAATGGGGCCTCGAGGCCCGCTGCCCCGCGCAGCGGGCACGGCGGCAGAGCCGCGAGCGTGCGCGTCAACGCTCCCCGACTTCCGCGCCGCCGCACCCTGGGAGAGGCGCTGCGGTTCTCCGAGTGCCCGCAGCTTCTCGGCGAGCGCACGCAGCGCGCACACGGGGCGCATGCCCCCCGCACACTCACTCACACGCGCTGCACACTCAAGGCGTCTCCAGCCCCACCCCTGTGCCCAGGAACGCCAGGCTCACTGCACCCGGCAAGGGCCCCACCCAGTTCACTACGTCCCAGCCCCCTGCTCCGGTGTCCAGGGACCGGCTCCCTAAGGCCAGGGGTCACTGAGGCCGCCCATCCCGGCGGCTCTCTCTACTGGGGTTCACCCGCACACCGCGAGGGCTCCGCGCGCCTGGCCCCGACACGAGGCAGGGAGGAAGGGGCGGCGCCGCCACAGGGGCTGGCACCGGGAATCGGTTACTGGGGCACCCCCCCACCGCCACCCACCCGTCACCACCTTTCCCGCAGCACAAAAGGTTGCAGAGGAAACCACCGACCCCTTGCGACCTACCGGTGGCTCACAGCTCGCCGCCTCCGCCTGCTTGGGGCCGTGAAGCACGAGACAAGGGCGGGAGAGGCACAGGATTGCGGCACAGAGATCCGGGCAGAGGCCGCCAGCGGAGCCAGCCGGGTACCCGCTCCTCTCCCACCGCGCTCAGCGCCAGCTACCGCCGTGCGTAGTCCCCGCCTCCACCTCCTCCGCCCGCCTTCCCGCCCTCCTCCCACTGCTGCAGAGGCGCAGCCCGTCAGCGCCGAGCCCGCCTCCCGCGCCCAGCCCAGACACGGGGGAAGGGCGGCCCGGCGCTGAAGCGGCCTGGTGGAGTTGGCTGGCGGGGCGGATCTGCTGACTGAGGAGGGGAGGGAGCAGCGTGGGTAACACCCCCGCCTCCGCCCACACTCCGCACTCCGACCGAAGAGCCCGAAGAGCATCAGCTCACAGACCTGGCTGGCGACACTCAGGTTTCCCCCGTTAAGTGATGTGGTGATGCTTGTCATTTATGAGTCTCTGCTTAAAGGATTCAGAAGTCCGTGAAATTACAAATTATAAGATCAATCTTAGAAACGTGCTAAATATCTAGTGAAGGGGGTGGGGGTAAAATTCAAATCGATAGCAGTTGGATTATTTTTGAATCTTCGAATTTGATCTTTCCCATTCTTGTAAGAAATTGTTTTTCTTTAATCAAGATTTTCTATTCTCAATTCCTGTACCTCTCCTCCGCCAAACTCGTTAATAAACGGCAATAAGTATATTTACTGGTTTATTTAGTAGTCAGTATGTGCCAGACCTTTTACATGTATTTTCAAATTTACAATTTCCATCAATTCTGTAAGTTAGTGACCACTTATGATCCGTATTTTAAAGATGTTGGAAAGTTGAATTAAATTCCTCAAGGTCACACACCTAGTAAGTGGCTGAACTAGGTTTGAACTCCAGGCAGTGGCACCTTAGAATTGTTTATAAATGTTGCTAATTTCTGTTCCAGTCTCAATCCAAGAAAATTTGTTGTTGTTGTTATTTTTAACAAAGTGCTTTATCTAAACATAAAAGTCATAAACTTGCTGTAAATTAATACAAGTTTACACAAATATCACTTAAAACTTGTTCCACAATCTGTGTATGCTCCAGATAATATAAAAGCAAATAAATAAGTCTGAACACCCATACTTTGGAACATCAAGATGCCTGGAGGCTCCTTGTCTAGAAGACATTTTATATGAGCCTGTGTGCCCTAATATAAGGGAAGATAAAGAAGGATTTTTAAATTATTTATTTATTTATTTTTAGAGAGAGGGGAAGGAAGGGAGAAAAGGGGGTGAGAGAAATATCAATGTGTGGTTGCCTCTTCCATGCCCCCAGCCAAGGACCTGGCCCACAACCCAGGCATGCGCTCTAACTGGGAATCAAACCATCAACCCTTTGGTTCACAGACAGGCACTCAATCCACTGAGCAACACCAGCCCCAACAGGAAATGTTGACTAATCTCTAAAGAACAATTTTAGAAAACACGATTCACTTTTCCAACGTGATATGTGTGTAACTTCTCAAATATAGTACCTGATACAACATATGTATTGAATACATGAATGGAGTTTGGTTTTGCATTGGTAATTTAAGAGAACACACTGAAAGTTATTTTAGATTATAATCCATTTGACAAAGAGATTTGTTGTTCTTATGATCATTCTCATAAACCACCTCCAAAACATTGAATATTTTATATTCAGAAATTCACTTTTATTCTGTCCTGATTGTGTATGTGTGTGTGTGTTTGTGCGTGTGTGACCTTTTCAGAAGAATACCTTGTACTTGCCCTTTGCTCTGGAAGTTTGGGAGTGTTCTTTGGCCAAAAGTAATAAAGTTCTGCTTTGCCTTTAAGTTTATTAGGCACAGGGCTAGCCTTTTGAGAGGGCACTGTCTCCAAACTGCCTGTCTTCCTGGTGGTTCTCCATGCTCCCATTCTAGCCCTGACTCCTCACCCAATCAAAACTTCAGTCATTTCTTGAGTGTCACAAAGAGCACCCAATAAACCAGTTCACCAGGAGGTTAATGGCTGATAACAGCTTTATGTGTGGGCCCTCAGTGACATATCTATGCCACTAAAGACTATGAATGAGCACTCTCTTAATTAGGATCAGTTTTGGCTTACAAAGGCTGTGTCTGAGGGGTGTATGGGTGGTGGGATTAATGCAGAAGCTCTGCTTAGGGCTTTTCCATGTTTTATGAAGATCTATTCAATCTATTTTTTAATGCAATGCTTATAAAGAATTAGGAACAAGTATCAAATAATTCTTGTGACCTGAAATGCCTTCTGAATCTGGGGAGTCAGAAATTCCAGCTCACGTGCCCCTTGTGTAAGTTACATCTTTGCCTCAAGGCACCTTCCCACAAAATCACTTTAAAATAATGGTTTTCTGGGAAGGATTATACTTCTTGAAAACTTTTTCTTCTTCACCCCTTCCTCTTTGGCAACCATCAGCTGGTTCTCTATATCTATGAGTCTGTTTCTGTTTTGTTTTTTATTGCTGCATACTATTTCATTGTATATTTACCACATCTTCATTTGTCTGTTGATGGACACCTAGATTGCTTCCATATCTTGGCTATTACTAGTAGCCCTGCAATAAACATAAGGGTGCATATATCTTTTCAAGTTAGTGTTTTTTGTTTTCTTCAGATAAATATCCAAAAGTGGAATTTCTGAATCATATGGCAGCTCTATTTTTAATTTTTTGAGGAATCTCCATCCTGTTTTCCGTAGTGGCTGCACTAATTTATAATCCCACTGACAGTGTACAAGGGTTATGTTTTCTCCATATCTTTGCCAGCACTTGTTATTTGTTGATTTATTGATGATAGCCATTCTGACAAGTGTGAAATGATAATCTCATTGTGGTTTCAATTTGCGTTTCTCTGATGATTAGTGGTATTGAGCACTTTTTATATATCTGCTGGCCATCTCTCTGTCCTCTTGGGAGAACTGTCTGTCTAATCAGGTCCTCTGCCTTTTGACATAAATAGGTCACCTAGCAAACAGCCAGCTAGAGGGAACAAGATAGGTATACTTGATAACATAGTGAATGTAAAACAGAAACTACAAAGCCAGTTGTGCAAGAAATACCACATCTCTACCTTTTCTCTAAATGCACTTATTTTAAGCTGAGGCTAACCAGAAAAAAGATACTATTCTAAATACTTACGTAGAAAATTGGATGTAAGGAATTGATAACAGAGGCAATGGGAGAATTCAGAAGGTAAACAGCGGTTGGTGAAGTAATCCAGAAATTAGCAAGTGCAGCCCATAGCTGGAGAAATAAAGGGAGGAAGCAGGATTCCAGAAACCCAGGGACAGGCAGTATGGCCAACCTGGTGAGAGCTGCAGCACAGAGGAGAGACAGTCACTGCCAAGGCAGTCGTCTGTTGCAGGGAAAGAGAGAGTCCAGGGTAGATTCTCCTCTCCTCCTGCCCTCCAGGCTCCTGCCAGTGCCTTCCAGTAGCCAGACCTACACAGTAGCTGCCACAGAGCCAGGCAAACAGCCTGCTAGCCTGCAACATGGAAGTGAACAGAGAAAGAGCACAGAATGTGAATCTGAGGGCCCGTTTGCACATCAGCACAGAACAGCATTTTCTTTCACTTTCAAAGCATCAGTCTTTCATAAGGTTTTTCCCACTCCCTAGGGTAGGGTCAAAATACCAAGAGCATATGTCCTGCCAGGCCATGGGTAGGTGGTGATGATAGACAATAGGAGGAGGTCTTTTTGTTTTTATTTATCTGTCCACAGAGGTTTCTATTGTCCTTCCTCGGAGCTGCCGCCTACATCTACATGGTGCAGTGCATAACATGTCCATAGATGGGATGGTTCTGACCTACACTCTTGGTTGCTCCCTTCAGGTCTCTCCTGCTCCATCATCACACTTGGACCCGGAAAATATTTCTAAGGTCTGGGACCATCTTGCTAAGCCTCATTAGTCATTTATATTTAGAGTCCTTTATCAAATATAATGATATAGGTAGACTTAAAGTATAAGGATGAAAAATATATAACATGCAAACACTATTGTAAACAAAGCAAGAACAATGACATTAATATTAAATAAAGTAGACTTCCGAGCAAAGAAAATTACTAGAAATAGAAAAGGGTGTTATGTAATGATAAAATGGTCAATATACCCAAAAGACAAATGTGTATGTACCAAACAGCAGAGATATAAAACACAGGCTGATAGAACTGAACACAGAAATAGGCCAATATACAATTATAGTTGCACCCCTCTATTAACAATTGACAGAACACCTAGACAATAATCAGCAAGGATCT